AGACGGCCCAGCCGCAAGCCGGTGCGGCCGAGCTGGGGGAGCTGCCTCCCGGAACAAAGGCGCTCTTTTGGATCCGGAACCGCGAGCGCTTCGAGCCCTTGCACTTTCTCCGAGGGATGTTAGGCGAGTGGAGAACCCTCGGGGTCTCTCCAGGTCGCGGGCCCTGAGGTGGCAAGCAAGCCAAGGCTGCCCTCTGCGGGGCTGGGTGTGGTCCCTAGCGCAAGACGGGGAGGGGGGGGGGCAGAGAGCCTTGGGCTGGACGATGAACGAGGGTCTGGCGGCTGGGACCGACCAGCCTGGAGCTGCATTCGCAGGGTCGTGGCGATAGGTCAGATGCGGCTGGCGCATCAGAGCATCTTTAGGCTCACCAGCTCCTGATCTCGGCCCAAAGGCCAGGGCTTAGGCTCCTCTGCCTGCTCTGCCCCCCTCCACCTGCGTGAATAATTTAAGTGCAATCGCTGTTCTAGCTGCCCGCTCACCCACTGCTGCCCTGGAGCAGGTCCAGACAGGTGCGTCTATGTAGCCTGTGTCTATCCACTCCTTTGGTCCTTCACACACATTTGGCTTTCACCTTGACAGGTAGTGATGAGTCCCTCCCTGCGACTTTCCCGTAGCTAGTATGTGGCAGAGACAGGATGTGGGCTCTCTGCTCCAAGGCCTGGGTTCTTACCCTCAGCCTTGGGGCCTTGGTACGTGCCTGCATTCACACTCACACAGCCATTCACCCCTGCGGAGGGCTCCTCTTTCCAACAAGCTGCCAAGCCCTCTTGAGTCCACACCACCCACCCCTGCAGCTCCACCTCACATTTGAGGGCGGTGTCATCACACTCTTCTCAGCCTCCTCGCCCAGAGCCCTGATCTAAAATAGACTTCATGATTGACTATCCGGTGGTTCTGAACGTCCCGGAGAGCCCAAACAAAGAACACATGATGGTTTATAATGCTCCAAAGAGGAGGTTCATCAGGATTTGAGAGACATGGACATTTTTTCCAAATAAGACTTGCAGAAAATTGAAAGCGTTGTGATTACGTAGGTCGACTGCTCATGGCACCAGTGAAGAACCAGGCCCAGAAAGGTTACGTGATTTTCCCCAAAGTCAGCTGGTAGAGCAGGGACAGGGATCCAGTCATGCATGGGTCCTGCCCTCACGGTCTATTCCCATCCACTCACGGCCAGGCTTAAGTGAACTTCTCAACAGGGAGACAGTTTAGTTGTGGCCTAGGGACCCCTCCACCATCCCCTGTAAATCCCTCACAGCCC